TCTTGTCAATAGTCAATATAAGCCGGTATTTCATATTTTCTGAAATTATTAGAGTAAAATTGTACCTCCTTCCTATTCTGTGAAACCTGTCAAGCTAATACATGTATTTCATATGTAGTAATAATTGGGGCAATTTCCTAGAGAACGATTATTGGACCCCCCCGTGCCCTTCTCTCACCTCCTATCAATTTTGGGATCTGTTCTAGAGAATGATGTCTCCCCCCTCCCCCTCCCCATCAATTTTGTACATGACCTAGATTTAAACTTTTTCAACAATAAATATTGAATTTGTGATATTTAAGGGTTGTAACCCTTAACTTTACTTAAAGTAACCCTAAAATTTCATGAATAACAGAAACTGAATTGCTTGAAAGTGGCTTTAAGATTTTTAAAAATTCTAAGTGGTGACCTGGTTAATGTACAACCTAAATCCATGATCCTAATAATATCTTCGCCGGTGTTATTCTTGGTCCGTCGTAGAGAACGATTTTTGGACCCTCCCCTCCAATCAATCAATGACCACTTATTTTTCAGCAAATTTATTAATTATTTTTCTTGTTATTTAGGGTTTGGTTTGGTTAAGACAATTTATGGGCCGAGCGTTGCGGCTAGGATAGGCTAGGAGGCCGAGCGCTGCGGCCACGGGTTAGGTTAATTTAAGACACTTTCAGGGCCGAGCGCTGCGGCCACATGTCTTACATTTAAGATACTCTTACATTTAAGATCCATGTACAAAATTGATAGGAGTTAGGGGGGGGGGGGTCCGAAAATCGTTCTTTAGAAAATTACCGTTATTCTTCCCAATCTGCGAATAAAAGGGGGAGAGGGGATGATTTTTGGAGAAAATATTTACCCCTGATATATGTCCCTGTTTGAACATTTAAGATAAGAAGCTAAGTTAATTTCATATTTGCCAGTCATAAAAAAAAATTATCGAACCAATTTCATGTCCTTCATATGTTCTATGTTAATTTGTTTCAAATATGTCTCCTAACCTCCCCCCCTCCCCCCCACCTCCTAAAAAATATCGTACACGATTCAGAAAGTTTATAATTTTACAAAGTTTCTAAATTTTTGATAAAAAAAAAACACCTGCAACCACTAATTTCAGCCATTTAATTAAGTTCTCCAGGGTGATTAAAAGAAAGAGCTCATAGACTTAAGTGCGATTTTAGAGCAAATCTTTTAAGTGCTAGTAATGTTCAAGAGACAAGTTTATTTTTTAATTAGAAATACGGAATAAGATAAGAAAGCCACCCCCAATGTGATTTTGATCACCCTGTGAATTTCCTAAAAAACACTTGTATAAAAGTATCCAACATCTTGAGGTATTTGGGACATACAGATACAAACAGCTGTTTTAATTTTAACCTCATTTGGTATTCATGATATTTTCATGATAATTTGTGTTTGTGAAGATTAAATTCTAAGCCCTCCATTTTTAGAGTCGCATTATGATACCCATTAAAGCTTCACATGCTTAAAAATTAATTTGAAATTTATGCGCCCAACTCTGAATATTTTTTATGCTGGTTTCTCTATAAAATTGTCAGAATCATATCTTCACATTATTGACAAGATAAAGTTTCTTTAAAGGATACCGTTGTGAATCGGGCATTCGAGGCTCACTTCAAATTACAGAGATAGTCCCTCTAAAGTCTCATAACCCCTCCCTCTTCGATTATATTCATCCCTGAAGTAAGTTTATTAAATTATGTCAAGATAAGAGTATTTTCAAATATCAAGGAAAAGAAATCAATCCGATCATTCTAATTAAGGAAAGAGAGGCAATACTGTACTTAATTTTTCATGCTTTTTGGCAATATTGAAATTTTAACAAAAATGTTCGTTCATTTTCTTCTGAAGCTAAAGCAACAATAATACGCCCTAAAAATAGTTAGAGATGTAGAATAGTCGGAAATCAAAAACTGTCGCATTCTAATTTGAATATCGTATATTGGTAGAATCCTGAATCATTCAATCATGTGAATATTCAAGCGTAATATAGATTTGAATTAAGATTTGAAATCACGGATGCAATGTTCAGAATACAATTTGAAAAATGGGTCATTTAGAAATATTATTGAAATCTTTTCATATCCTTTCTTCCTCTTCTGAACAGATTTTGAAAAGAAAAGATTTTTTAATATTTATGTTTTCAGAAAGAGAATGCCTTATATCAGTGAAGAACGTGGGGCCAGGAACTCACTGGATTATAGACTCTTTTTCAAGGTTAGTATGATTTCATTTAATTAATTTTATTTTATTTTATTTTATTTTAATTTATTTTATTTCAGATTTTATTTGAGATTTTATTTGAGATTTTATTTTATTTTAGATTTTATTTTATTTTATTTATTTGAGATTTTATTTGAGATTCTTGTCAATAGTCAATATAAGCCGGTATTTCATATTTTCTGAAATTATTAGAGTAAAATTGTACCTCCTTCCTATTCTGTGAAACCTGTCAAGCTAATACATGTATTTCATATGTAGTAATAATTGGGGCAATTTCCTAGAGAACGATTATTGGACCCCCCCGTGCCCTTCTCTCACCTCCTATCAATTTTGGGATCTGTTCTAGAGAATGATGTCTCCCCCCTCCCCCTCCCCATCAATTTTGTACATGACCTAGATTT